CATCTTTCACATGTTGACAGGTTTATTACTTTTAGAGATCGCCGGCCTGAAATTTGAGTGCGGAGTTTTCCATCTTATAGGTTACGTTTAAATTTTTCAGCTGTATGAAGAGCGAGTGTATTGTTACGTGCTATGGAGAAAAAAGCTGAGAAAAAAATGTTTTTGATTTTTCGACTGGAGACTGAAGAATAAAGCCTTTATCTCAATTTGGAGAAAGTATTATTTTACACTAATATTTTTTAATTAGAATATTAGTCATCGTATGATTTCATTTTTCAGATCGTGAGAAAGGAAATGACTATTGTATTTCCAGGAATTGTTTTTAACAATTTTTTATTTAACCTTTATTTAACCTTGAAAATTAGTATAAAAGGAAGGGAACATTTGTTAATAATTATTAGTATTGTATAAACAAGGTGCTTGTTTGGTTGCTCGTGTTTGTTAAACAAAAAACATTTTTTTTAATCTAACGAAAAAAGAACGGAAAAGATGGATTCTATAGATTTTTATAAACTCATTGAAATTATTGAGAATGCTTATGATATAGTGAAAAATATTAAATGTAAAAAAAAATTATTATTTGAATCGGAAAAGTGGATGAAATTAGCGGTAAAAAATATTAATCTTTTAAATAAAATTTTGAAATCAAAAAAAGAATTGATTAACGTAAGTAAAAGAAAAAGAATTTTAACAACTGTTGGAATTTTAAAAACAATTTGTGAAAGATTTAAAGAAATTCAAAAAACTGGTAGAGGTAGCACAGGAAAAAAGGAAAAAAGAATAAAATGGGAAAATTTAGAATCAGCTTTTGAGAATAGGATTAAAACAGGAATGGTGATTAATTTAAAACACAAAGATTTATTCAACTTTTTAGAAGAGTCTAAATCATTAATAAAATCTCGATTAAAAAAAGCCTTTAGAGAAAATAGTAGTTTAAAAGTAAATTTTGTTTTAATGGGTAATTTTACAACTATTGAAAGCGGTGAAAATATAGAAGAAAAAAAATCTTTTAATACGAAAAATGAAGTTATTTCTCCCTTCTCAGATTTGGATGCAATTCTTAATGAATTAAATAAATATATTTTAAAAGAAGTGGAGGAATTTAATGAAAACAAGTCAGGTTGGTCATTAAAAGAGATTTTAAATTTAATGGTGAACATAAATAGACATGCGCCAATTCAAGTAGGCTGTTCGGAAAATTTAAAATTGACAAACTTTATTATAGAAAAACATGCTGTTGTAAATATAAAAAATGCAGACAATTACTGTTTTCTTTGGTCAGTAATGGCAGCTTTGTTTCCAGTAAAAAATAACGCGAATCTGATTAGTTCTTATCCGGATTTTAGGAATGTTTTAAAATATGAGGGAATAAATTTTCCTATAAGTTTGAAAGATGTGTCTAAATTCGAAAAAATGAATAGTTTGAAGATAAATATTAATGGTTTGGAAAAAGTTGGTAAAAATAAAGAAGAGATTGTTCCTTTTTATTTAAGTGACAATTTCTCTAAAAAAGATACTATTCACTTACTAATGATAAATAAAGGAGAAACTTTTTCTGCAACAAATAAAAGTGATAAAATAAACGATATTGATAATAATAGTAATAATTATTATTTTGCGTGGATTCGCAATTTGTCGCGATTGGTAAAGTCACAATTTACAAAACACAACCGTCGAACTTGGTTATGCGATAGATGTTTATGTCATTTTAATTATGAAAATTCATTTCTCAAACATAAAACTGATTGTATGAATTTAAACAAGTGTAAGGTTATTTTACCGACAGAAGAGGAGAATATTTAAAAATTTTAAAATTTCAGATTCAAAGAAAAGGTGCCATTTGTACTGTATGCCGATACTGAAAGTCTTTTAGAACCTATTAATGATAATAAAGTAATATCCGGGGCGTATAGAAAACATTCCGACGAGCGTTGCATATTATCTAAAATGTGATTTTGATGATTCACTATCAGTGTTTGAAACTTATAGAGGGCAGGATTGCATTTCATGGTTTATGGAAAAATTAATAAGTATTGCTGATTTAGTTGACTTGTATTTAAAAACAATAGTACCAATGGAAACTTTATCTTTTCAACAAGAATTAGAATTTAGAACTGCAAAAATTTGTCATATTTGTGAAGATTTATTTGAAGATAATGATACTAAACATCGCGATCACTGTCATTTCACGGGAAAATATAGGGGTGCAGCTCACCAGGGTTGTAATATTAATTATAAAAATTCTCATTCGATTCCTGTAATTTTTCATAATTTATCAGAGTACGATGCACATTTTTACATTCTCATCACATAAGAAGGTATTAGATTTGGTGAAAAATTGACTTTTTATACCTCAGGCACAAAATAGGCGCTTTTAGATAGCATCCAACAGGAACTAAAAGCCATTCATTTGTCCACTTGAATGAAAATGGCGACCTTTTTTTCCCATGGGCAAAAAAAACAGCTAGTACCATGCGTTACTTTTGCTCATGGAAAAAAAGGCCGCCATTTTCATATAAGTCGAACAAGTGAATGACTTTTACTCCCTGTCGTCTGCTAGTAGAAAAACTGTATTTCACATATGAAAGTAACTTTTCAAAATTTTCATTTTTTCGTTCTAATTTTTTTAAAATAACTTTAAAAAAGAAACTAAAATCGCGTTTTAAGCTTGAAACATTTTTTTAGGGTCAATTTGAGATTTTTGATTCACACTTACTGTATTGATAAAAATTACAAAATATTTCCCAAGTACCCTTAGGGCGTATTGGCTAATGCAAAACGCTATGCATAAAGAGCAACCTACGATACCGACGAAGTGTTCGTTCATTGTAGAAAAAAAGTAAGAGTAATTTAGGGACGTTCGTTTTTTTAAAAGAAAGCTGAGATGCCAGAGTAACTTTTCTAGGAGATAAACACTTAATTAAAACAAAAATGTCCGAGTACATCAACAAAGAGTGAAAAGTCAGCCATTACGCTCCGGTCTACACTACACAAAAACCTTGATACTAATACTTTTAGAATATTTTATCTGCTTCTGCAAATCATGTTTCTGCTAAGAGAGTTAGTATAATTAAAAATAACTTTACAATTTAAATCATCAAGACCAAAAATATACATTTAAATCCACTTTATCTCGCAATCATCAGCAAACAAAAACATGTGATGAGAATGTAATCCTTAAAGTCGTAGTAACTTTAAGAAAAAAAAATGTGTTATGAAACATTTAATAGGAAACAAGAATAATAACACAAATAATGCACAACAATTGCAGACCACCGCGAGCGAAGCGAGCCATTTGCGCGCGAAGCGCGCAACATCACACGGAGCGCGAAGCGCGACGTGTAAAATAATCGCCGGAGCGCGAAGCGCGACGATCAATATTCGCGCGCCCCGAGGCGCGCTGAAACTTGCGAGCGAAGCGAGCCCCCGCGCGAAGCGCGGATGAGAATGTGTCCGCGCTTGCGCGGGCAGATTTTTTTATTAAAGAATTGTGCACTCGTTTTGACGGACCTGTAAAACTTTTACCAATAAATAAAGAAAAATATATATCGTTCACTAAATACGTAGATGGCAAGAATGTATGTTTTAAATTTTTAGATTCGTTTAGATTTATGCCTAGTAGTTTAGATAAGTTGGCGACTTTTTTAAACAATGACGAAAAAAAAATTACTGCGAAATATTGCAGTAATATTGATGAATTTAATTTACTGGTCCGAAAAGGGGTTTTTCCGTACGAATACATTGATAGTTGGCAAAAATTAGAGGAAAATAAATTGCCGCCTATAGAAGCATTTTTTTCGAAATTGAATAATTCAAACATATCAAATGAAGATTATGAGCATGCTTGCCAAGTGTGGAATACATTTAATTTAAATAATTTGGGGGAATATTCTGATTTATATTTAAAAACAGATGTTTTACTTTTAGCCGACATTTTTGAAAATTTTCGAAAAACATGTTTGTCAGCATATAATTTAGATCCCTTACACTATTTTACTGCACCAGGACTGGCATTTGATGCTATGTTAAAATACAAGAAAATAAAACTAGAGTTATTGCGAGATATTGAAATGTTACTTTTCATAGAAAAAGGTATTCGCGGAGGAATTTCTCAATGCTTAAATAGGTACGCGAAAGCAAACAATCGTTTTATGGGGCCAGAATTTAATTCAGAAATTGAAGAGTCTTATATAATGTATTTTGATATAAATAATTTGTATGGCACAGCAATGAGTCATTTTTTACCCTATTCTGATTTTCAATGGGAGACCAATTTATTAGGATTTGATGTGGATAGAATTGATGACGATTCTTCTTTTGGATATATTTTAGAAGTAGATTTAGAATATCCTGCAGAATTGCATGATTTGCATAAAGATTTGCCCTTATGCCCAGAACATTTTATTCCCCCCGCTCCAGACAGCAAATTACCTAAATTGATACCACATTTATTTTCTAGAACAAAATATGTAATTCATTATAGAAATTTAAAATATTATTTAAAACTTGGAATGAAATTAACGAAAATTCATAGAATATTAAAATTTGAACAATCTCAATGGCTAAAAAAGTATATTGATTTAAATACAGAATTCCGAAAAAAGTCTACAAATATATTTGAAAAGAATTTTTACAAGTTAATGAATAATTCTGTTTTTGGGAAAACAATGAAAAATATAAGAAACCATAAAAATATTCGTATTGTTACAAAATGGGAAGGTAGATATGGTGCCAAAGCTCTTATTAGTAAACCGAATTTCAACAGTTGTTATATTTTAGAAAAGAATTTAGTTATAATAGAGATGATTAAAGTTAAAATTACATTTAATAAACCGATTTACGTGGGATTTAGCATTCTTGATATATCGAAAATATTTCTTTACGATTTTCACTATAATTATATTAAAAAAAATTTCGCTGATAAATCTAAATTATTGTACACAGATACTGATAGTTTAATTTATTATATTAAAATTCCAAACATCTATGATTATATTAAGCAAGATTCCGATTATTTCGATACTTCCGATTATCCAGAAAATAACTGCTATGGTATACAATTAAAAAATAATAAAGTGCTCGGTTTAATGAAAGATGAATGCAACGGAAAAATTTTCACCGAGTTTATCGGCTTGAGATCAAAATTATATTCATATAAAATATTAAACGAAAATCGTGAGAAAAAAAAGCTAAAGGCGTCAGGTCTTCAGCTTTAAAAGAAATTACATTTGACGACTATAAAAAAACACTTTTTTCCAATGAAAATCTAGTTAAAAATCAATATTCAATTCGCAGTGAAAAACATCAAGTTTACACTGTAAAACAAAAAAAAGAAGCTTTAAGTTGGTTTGACGATAAAAGAGTACTTTTACCGAAAAATACAGATACGCTTCCTTGGGGGTACAAAAAATTAGTTAAATAATTAATGGAAAAAAAATCAGTAATTTCAATAAAAAGAATTAAAAGTTATATATATATATTCTAATAACCTTTCTCTTTCTCTCTATATGTTTTTCTCATGCTCTTACTCTTCATCTTATTAGTCACCATGCTTTTGGCAAAGCCCTTTGTGTGTTATCAGACTTTTCTCTCTCCTTTCAACATAAGTTTATGTCTCTGTTCCTCATTTTCTAAACATTCGGGCCGGGTATAAAAAGTGTCCGGCTCCATATAGAGGACTCATTAGAAAAAGTGATCTCTTTTATTGAAGTTTGACACGTCGCGTCAAGAGCAGTGCAGTGATTTTTAAAAAGTGACCTCCTAATTAAGAGCTGTTGGAATACGTGAAAAGTGTTTTATTCAATTTTAGCGAAAAAGTGCAGTGGATTTATTTTTTCCAATTAATCAAAATGAGCATTATAATTTAACAGTTATTTCTAAAAAGAAATTTTATGAAAAATTCTTTTAATTAACTTTTTTTAGTTTTATGTTATGAAAAAACTTGGTTTTTTAATTTATTCCTTTTCATAAAAATTTAGTTTTATTTCAAATTGTTTATTTTATTTATCATTTGATTCGATGAGTTTACACTTTTTTTTGCTACGGACTGTGAAAAAATTTTTTTTTTTAATTTTAATTAACTTTTAACTTTTTTTATGTTCTGAAAAAAAGGTTTTTTTAATTTATTTCTTTTTATAAAAAACTTTAGTTTTTATTTAAATTTTTATTTTTTTCATCATTTGATTCATTAAGTTTATAAAAAAATTTTGTACACATTTTTTCTTTTTTCAATCAACTTTTAATTTTTTAATTTAGTTACTTATTTTTAATTTTAAAATAAATTTTTTTAAATTAACTTTTAACTTTTTTATTTTTTTTTATATTCTGAAAAAAGGTTTTTTAAATTTATTCCTTTTTTTTATAAAAAAAATTTAGTTTTTATTTCAAATTTTATTTTATTTTATTAATCATTTGATTCGTTGAATTTATAGAGAAATTTTGTACACATTTTTTTTAATCAACTTTTTAATTTTTAAATTTAGTTACTAATTTTAATTTTAAATAAAATTTTATTTCTTTTTCAATTAAATTATTTTTTTTTAAATAAATTTATTTTGAATGTTAAAAAAAAATTTAATTATTAATTTTTTTTAAAAATTAATTTAATATTTTTAGAAAATTTATTGCTTTTATGAATTTTTTTAGTTTTATACAGTATTTTTTAAATTTACTCGTGGTTTAGATAAATATTTTAAAAACAAATAGGTATTATTTTAATTGTTTTAAATATGTTTTGCTACTTAAAATAATTTTTATTAATAATTTTTTTTAAAAAAATTTTTTAAACCTTTCCTAAAAGATTTTTTTTTAATTTAAGTTTTGGGACTTAAACTTTATTTTGAAATGACTAAAAGTCTTTATTTTTTCTAAGTTAAAAAAATGGAGGGCTATCACACTGTGCAACTTATCGTTCAAGCTCCACGTGCATGGCTGGAAAGTTCCAGCAACGTGGATCAGTTTAAGGAGCTATGCATTACGGGTTTATCAATGCGAGCAAGAGATTTATTTAATGGGATAACCAAATGCTCCACACCTGTATTTTTATCATACAACAATATTAGGGCGAAAGTCAATTCGCTTCTAAATGGATATTGGGTGCGACGAGTGGACATGAACTTTCAAGAAATTTTGGTAAATATTTCTTTCTATAGATTAAATTTTTAATAGTAATTTTTATAATATACCCTTCTTTGTTAAATGTTCATTTTATTTTACTTTAATTAATTTAGTTCTTAATTTAATTAATTTAGTTTTTATCTCAATATATTTCATTCTTAATTTTTTAATATTATTTAACAATTTTTTATTAACATTTGTTTCTATTATTTATTAATTTTTTTTATATTAAATTGTCCATTTTTTATTAACAATTGTTTTTATTATTCTTTGTTTCAGAATAATCAAAATTATATTGGCTTCCATCTTTACTTTCACATTCCATCAGAATGGATTGAAAATTGTTTGGATATTGAAAGGCTGTCCGATTTCCTTATATTAGCTGCAGGTGTTAGGCGGTATTCGCTTTTCAACGACAATCCCATCGATGGAGACGAGTACTTCTTAGAACATTTGAACATTGTCGTTGAAGTAAAAGAGGTTGGCAATTACACATTTTTAATGCAAAGAAGACCTGACATTACGACTTTGGTGGGAGAAGGTTTCGATTTCGATATAAACGCGCAGGCGCTTGGTAGTAAACACGTGTTGTGATCTGCTCTATTATCTTTTGCTTTTTTGTGTGCTCTGAGTAACTTTTTGTTTCCGGTTGTTGCTTTTTTGGATTGTCTGGACGATCTTCTTTGCTGTGAGTGAATTGGTTTTTTGGAAACTGGTTTTGTTTTTGACAAATTAAAACGTAAAGTTTTCTATTATTTTGTGGAGTACTATACAATCATATAAAGTTGACCCAAGTGCAGTGCTTGTGTACTACCTAACCGTATAAATTGGACCCAAGTTCAGTGCCGCGTATTGATTTCATAGATCCCTACCTATGCTCAGCTGATATAGACTAAATATGTCAGATCCTCGAGTTTGTCGTCAATGTACTAACATTATTGTTGGAGATGCTAATTCTTGTCCTTGTGGTGTTTTCTATCATCCGGAATGTATTTCCCTTGCGGTTAGTAAAAAGAGTGGTAAGAGGAAGTGTTGTCCATTCAAACCAATTGCGAGATCTTTGTCCCCAGCTTCTTCTTCTGGTTTCAATATTGAGCAGCTTGGTAAAATGTTGGAGGATCATTATGCTAAAGCTAAAACTGAATCTGAGAAATTTATTGGTGGTAAGATTGGTGCTGTTGATGAAAAAATTTCTTTTTTGACTACTACTGTTGCTTCCTATTCAAGCAGACTGGATGATGCTGTGGAGAGAATCGAGAATCATGAAGACAAATTCCAGGAGTTTCAAGATTTAAATAATAATGCAATTGTATCAGAAACATCAATCTCTTCGAAATGCGTTGCTGAAGTGACTGACAGATTAAAACGAAAATGTAACCTCGTAATGTTTGGCTGTCCTGAGGCACTGGATAATGGTGATCAAAGTAAGAATAATGTTAATGAGTCAGATTCTAGGAAAATTAATGGTTTTCTTAAGTCCATTAATGATAGGCATAATCCTCTCCTAATTAAGTTTAAAAGACTTGGTAAATATCAACAGAGCTCAGCATCTCCTCGGCCGATTCAGATCACATATGACAACGAAGTTTTGATGTGGGAAATGCTACGCGCTTATTGGAAGCAGAAAACTCTATTAGTGGGGAAAAATACTCTGACCATTTCACTGTCCAGGGATCTAACCCCACTTCAACGAACGCAGCAGAAGGAGATTCAAATGGAATTGAGGGACCGTCGAAGGAGTGGGGAGCAAGACTTGGTTATCAGGGAGGTGGGAGGAGAGCTGAAAATTGTAAGGAGGGAGAGGCCACCTGTTCCAGAGTCATCGATGTAGAACGTGCCCACCGTAGCAATACACCACTTTCCCCTCAACACACACGTAATTCTCCTCACACTTGCTCACTAGAAATATATTATCAGAATATTTGAGGTTTACGTACTAAAACGCTACATTTACACAAATCTCTTCCATCCTTTTCCAATCCTATTTTTGTTTTCACTGAGACTTGGCTGCATGACGGTATTGACAGTGGTGAATTAGGCTGTACGAATTTTATAGTCTATAGATTTGACAGAAATTCTTTGACTAGCACATCGCGTCGTGGTGGTGGAGTACTTATTGCAGTGAATAATAAATTTTCCAGTGCCCATATACCGGTTGTATGTAAAACTATTGAAATGTTGTTTATTCGAGTTAAGCTTTCAGACGTCTGGCATATTCTCGGTGTAGTATACTTTCCACCAAACTCTTGTGTGAATAGTTATAGAGATTTTTTTAATACTGTCGAATTGATTTGTAATGACATGCCAAATGTACCATTTCATATACTGGGTGATTTCAATTTGCCTTTAATTAAGTGGGGGATATATAATGATTATGAATTGTCTTGTGTTTTGCATAAAATTGAACCTGGTCATACTATTATTCAGAAAGAAATTTTTGTATTATTTATGGACAATTTAGATTTTTTTAACCTGCGACAACTTAATTTATTTTGTAACAATCGTAACTCTATTTTGGATCTTATACTGACAAATATTGACTATAGTAATGTTAAATTATCAGACGACGCATTGTTACCCGTAGATGATTATCACCCTCCCCTTATATATGAAATTAAAGTACCTATTGCCTTTCACGAATTACCAAATTATTCCATAAATTTCAATTTTAAAAAAGCAAACTTTGCATCCATTGATAATTATTTACTGGCAATTGACTGGAATCAGGAGTTTGTAAATGAACTAAATGTTTTAAATGATTTGCACATAACAGATAACTCTGATAATTTTCGACAAGATGCTATAAATAAAATGGTTTTGATTTTTTATAAACATGTTGAGTATGCCTTTGAACTTTTTATTCCTACTAAATGTAATCGACCCTCAACTTACCCAATATGGTTTTCTAATCAATTAAAGAATTTAATCATTGAAAAGAAAGCATCTCATGCAACATATAAACGCACAAGAGAGTTATCTGATTATGAGCATTTTTCAATTTTAAGAGCTAAATGTAAAAAGCTCTCGGAAACGACTTACAATCAATATATAATTGATACGGAAGCGAACTTAACGCGTAATCCGAAACTCTTCTGGAAATTTGTTAAAAATAATAAAAACATTTCAACTTTTCCAGATGAAATGTATTTTTGTCAAAGTAAAGCAAATAACAGTTTGAGTATTGCTAACCTTTTTGCTGATTTTTTTAAATCAGTTTATAACCAATCTGATAATAGTGCCCCTTTTCCAGTTGAGTTTAGTCAGAGTGTTGATCTAAGTTTTTATGAGATTTCTAAGAGGGACATTGAGATTAAAATACGAGCTTTAAACAATAACAAGGGGCCAGGCCATGATAATATACCAGTCTCTTTTCTGAAGTCGTGTTGCTCCTCGATTGTTGATCCACTTTTATTAATATTTAATTACTCTTTGAAAATTGGTTATTTCCCGGACTATTGGAAGTTGGGCATAATTTCACCTGTCTTCAAAACTGATGATAAATCGAATATAAAGAATTATAGACCCATAACTATCCTTAGTGCTATTCCGAAATTATTTGAAAACTTAATTTACGACCAAATGTATTTTGCCTTTAAAAATGTTTTAGTTGAGGAGCAGCACGGGTTCAGAAGGGGACGTTCTTCTTTAACTAATTTGTGCATTTATACTCAGTATCTGTCAAGCGCCTTGGATGCTGGTTTGCAGGTTGATGCAATTTATACCGATTTCTCAAAGGCGTTTGACAAAATTGATCACAATGTCCTTCTTTGCAAGCTTCGTGCCTATGGTGTTTCGGATTTGGCTTTAAAATGGTTGGCTTCCTACCTGTGTGACCGACGACAAGTTGTTAGAGTGAATGGGACCTTTTCATATGAATTTTTTTCAACTTCTGGTGTTCCGCAGGGCTCTCATCTTGGTCCTCTTCTCTTTCTTATTTTTATGAACGATATTAATAGTTGTTTCTTTAATAGTAAATTTCTCATTTATGCAGATGATTTGAAAATATTTAAAATTATACAATCTTTGTTTTGTACTTATGAACTACAGGATGATCTGGATAGAGTCTACTTGTGGTCCACCAAGAATTTTTTGCCATTAAATATAAATAAGTGCTATATAATGTCATTTCATAGAAAAACTAAAATAATAAATTTCTATTACAATATCAGTGGAGCACCACTCGAGAAGGTTCATCGACAGCGAGATTTGGGACTGATGCTGGACCCTGCTCTCACGTATAATAATCATATTGATTTTGCTATTGGTAAATCGTTAAAAGCTCTCGGTCAGATTGTGCGATCTGGTTCGGTCTTTTTTAATCTGCGCGTTCTCAGGATAATGTTCTTTGCTCTCGTCAGGCCACACATGGATTTATTATCACAAATATACTTTCCCCAGTATGAATATCAGAAGGTGAGGCTTGAGAGAGTTCAGAATATTTTCTTGAGATTTGCTGCTAGACAGCTTAGTGTGCCTTATGACTATTTTAGTCACGATTATGAGGAGTTGCGGTCGCAGTTTAGGATTCCATCAATTCGTAGTAGATTTTTAAAGGCCGATTTAGAATTTTTTTATGGAATCCTAAATGGAAAAATAGATTGTCCATCATTATTATCTGGAATCTCGCTGTCAGTTCCTTATATATTTTTAAGAAATAGTGCAATTTTTAAAGTGCCTTTCAGTCGCACAAATTTGGGAAGCAATTCACCTCTTACTCGGCTTTGTCGAGAGGCTAATTATGCCCAAAGTGTAGACTTTTTTAACGCTTCTAAAAGTCGATTTGCGCAGGAGCTTTTAAAGCACATAAATAGCAAAACTTGATTAACTTTGTTCAATTTTTCATACACGTTTTTGTTATTAATTGAGTAATATTTACAGCGCTATTTTTGTAATGAATAAGTGTCTTCTTTTTTTCCTTTATAAAGGGTATGATTTTGTAAACCCGTTTGTAATAATAAATAAAAAATTATTGATTCGGAAGCTGTACATACTGAAGAAATGGAGGAGATGGAGCAAGGAAATGAAACATGGGGGCAGACCGATATTCAGTTTAATAATATTAACCCAAATGATGTGCTTGCTATTGAAGCCCCCAATGAAGAGGAGGATGAGGAGATGGGGAACGAAGAAGAAAAAGAAGAATTAAAAAGAGCAGTGTTATCTATCCTACCTCCAAAAGAAGAAGAAGAAGTGGAAGAAGGGGAAGTAGTTGAGAAAATGGAGGAGAAAGAACCCTTAAATTTAATTATAAAAAAGGAGCCAGAAGAAGTAAAAGAGGAGAACGTGGAGGGGGGAGAAGAATACTAGTGTGTTTTTATATTATTACACATAGTTTTTTATTCACTTTTATTACGCATTTTTTTTATTAATTTTATTATCCATATTTTTTTTAAATTTTCTTATACTCCATTTTATTAAATTTAACTTCATTTTCATAAACAAAAAAAATATTGTTTGTTTATAGTTCCATTCTTCGAATGCATTGAAAAATAAAAAAAAAAAAAAATGTTATTTTTATAGGATGATTTTTGAAATTTCCTTTTTGTCTATTTCAGGTTAATAATTCATTCTTAAAAATAATAATCGAAACATAAATTGGCAATTTTTAAATACATAAGTAATATTTTTAAAAGAGTATTTTTTCTATTTTAAAATAAGGAAAATTCTTTTTTCGTATAAACTTTTTAAGATTTAATTAACAAAATAAATTCTTTAATTAAGTTTTATCATAAAGAGAAAAAAAATAAATTAATTAATAGTGAAAGCGGAGACTTGAAAACACTATAAGATCGTTCAGTAACAGTAAGTATAAACTTCCTCTTTCGCTTATCAAATTTTTTTTTGTCCTTGACCATGATATTAAAAGAATCGAATTTGAAAAAGTTTTTAAAGTAACTATATAATTAAAGAAAAAATTAAGATTGTTAACTTCTTACACTTTTAATTTAATTAACTTTGCCTGTTAATAAATAAATAAATAAATAAATACATTGAGGTGAAATAAGAATCACATTTAATTTATTGAAATTAATTATATTTATTATTATAATTGTTACAATTTTCATGCAACCAGTTTTTCAAGTTTAGAACATTTTGAAGAGCGCAGATAAAAGATTTTTTTTATTTGGATGTTGAAAACAAGTATTAGCTGTTGTTATATCTACTAATTTTTTTATCGAAGGACAATTCAAATCATCCATGTCTATAACTTTAATATTACTTTCGATAATTATATTTTCTATCCACTTTTTTTCTCATAGCCTTTCACAAAAATCGTTTTTGCATTTTTTAAAATACTGTTTAATATTTTCTTCATAAAAATATATGGAATATCACCATCATCCCAAGAAAGTCCATGAAAATTATTTTCCAACCAGCGATTGGTATATTTATATTTATTTGAGATAGTATCCCACGAACAAGGCGGTTGACAAATTAAACTAAACGGCTTAAAATCATTGTTAATCGAGGCAACAGCTAACTCTTTTACAATAAATTTATTGACCGGCAATTTAAACCCTTGTACGTCTATCAAGTACTCCATTTTTAAAGAAACTGAGAAATATTTTTTCATGTACTACATTTAAAAAGCTTAAGATGATGATAATGATGATGTAATCGCAAGAATAAAAAATGTTTGAATCAACTGGAGTATGAGTGTGTGTCAATGAACGACCTTCTCAAGTTACACATAACTGACCTACGACAAAATTTCTCCGAAGGTCGATCACTAGTCATAGGCGTTTCTTTACTTCATAATCTTTTTTTTCTTTTTCTTCTCTTATTCAGTAATAAAAAAAATTTTTAATGTTTATTAAAAACAATTTGTTGTTTGGTTAAATTTTCAAAATAGATATTTTAAAAAAAATTTTTTTTTGCAAATTAAAAAAAATAATTGTATAAAACACATTTTTTGAAAAAAAAATTAAATTATGTGTGATTTTTTTTATGGAATATTAAATAAAATTAACTCAAATAATAATATTATTTACTAATGATTTATTTATAATAATACAAAAAAATTTTTTAAATACATTTTTTAAAATTAGATAATTTTTTTTACAATTCCACTTATTGGTTTATATTCAATAATTCTATCGTGCAAAATTAAACAGTAGGCTGAAGTATTTGCTGCAAAATTATCTTGTGATTCAAATTCCAAGCGAATGTCTACAGGACCACTTTTTAATGACTCATTTTGTTTTGAACAATCCACGACAACTAAAGGAGCGTATTCTAAAAATTCTTTTTTAGTTAAAATTGGTTGTGATTCTTTACCATAATATGAAGTTTGAAAATTAGTAAACATTTCATACAAAGTTGAGTACTGATTTCTACCAATATTGAGATTCATATTACCATAGGGATAACATTGCGAATTTAAAAACAATTTTACATCAGATAAATTACAATGATCAAAATGGCTAGAATTACAAACAGTATTATTTTTTCTATTTCTTTGAAAACCTAAAACAATAAATCTTGGTTTCTCTAATTGTGTTGAAGTTTTTACACTCCAAATATGCTTAGGAGTAATTGGTAACAATGGATATTCATACAATTCCCAAGTTCGAAAACTGATAGGAATTGATGGATCTTTTTCAATATATTTCAATAATTTAAATTTTCGAGCATCTGATAATTTTATGTATGGTAATAACCATTCGATTTTCTCAATTACAATTTTATACTCTTCTAAAGGCGCTACTTGCAAAACTGCATTATTATCAGTTCTTGATCTAATTAAAATAAGCTCATGTTTTGCGTTAATAATGACTTTTTGATAATCTTCTGCAAAACCAAAAATCATACTTAAAGGAATACAAACATCAAAATAACCTTGAGCATTTGTTAAGGTTGGTTCATCGGTAAATTCTAACCAGCCAACATTTTCAAAAAATTTATTCTGACTGGCACCAAGAGAAATATAATTTTTAATTAAACTTGTAAGACCTACATTCTTATTCTTATCTATTTCTACACCATTAAGTTCATATTTTGCTTCCTTAAATAAATGGCATATTCCATTAGAAATTAAATTTGTACGCTCAAGGGCTGTTCCATCAGGTTTCACAAGTTTTCCTGTTATGTGAATCGAGCTTTTGCTTAGAAGTAAGCAATGATCCTGGTTTTGTACAGTAATGCGAATTTCATCGCTATTGTTGAATGTTGATGAGGTATATGGTTGTTGCGCATGCACCTCATAATGAGCAATGGATTCATCAAAAATAATTGGTGAATCAATATTTAAAATGTCCCCCTCCATAGCAAAAAAATATTCGTTTAAAAACAAATAAACTTACACAATTACAAAAAAATTTTAATCTTTTTATCCTCTTTTTTTACGATTTTGAGACCGAGACTTTTGAGCAGCTTCAGTTTCTGAGGTGTTAACCTTTTCAGGATTCGCAGTTGACTGATTTGTTTTTGGCATGGTGTTTTATTTTTATAACCATAACCAATTTTATTTTTACTATAAAATGCAATGCCCATTATTTTAAAGACTTGACGTGAAGTCTAATTGTTATTGTCTCTCCTCGAAAATTAACTAAATTTCCGTCTTGATCAACAATTTTCAGCTGAATGTGATCTATTGTCTTTACAGCGACTGGCAAGTAAATGACGTGATTTGGCACTTCCACTATTTTATATCCTGGTGGTACAATAGGAAAAAATTCATGGATTGTATGCACTTTTTCCCCATTAATATATGCCCCTGTAGTTATGTTACACTCTACTCTTAGTGAATTTATTTTAATAACACAGGCACACAAAAAAAAAGTTTCGTGGCCGAGACACTACAGTAGTATATTCCCGTGTATTTTTGGCCGCTGAATCCGAATCTGAAGTCCGAATGCTCAAATTGGTCCTTTTTTTTGAGTTATACTCAAAAAATGACTCAAAACACGAATTTGAACCAAAAAAATTTAAAAAATTTTTTGTGAGACATGACAATAGCATATTTCCATGTATTTTTTCCCGCTAAATCCAGATTCGAAGTCAGAATTGACAGATGTGCTCAAAATTTTGAGCTAAACTCAAAAAACGACTCAAAAAACCGAATTAAAATGACGAAAATGAAAAAAATTTTTCTGTGACACTGCAAAAGTATATTCCTATGTATTTTTTCATGCTGAATCCGAATTCGAAGTCAAAATTGACAGATTTGCTCAAAATTTTGAGATAAACTCAAAAAACCACTCAAAAAAGACTCAAAAAACCGAATTAAGATGAAAAAAATTTTTTATGACACTACACTACTATATTCCCATGTACTTTTTCCCGCTGAATCCGAATTCGCAGTCAGAATTGACAGATTTGTTCAAAATTTTGAGATAAGCTCAAAGAACTGATAAAAAAGCGATTTAAAATAAAGAAATGGCAATTTTTTGCTATGACACTACATTACAGTATTTCCATATATTTTTACACTCGGATCTCGCATTTGTAGTCAGAATTATTCTAATGGCTCAAAATTTTGAGACACACAAGAAAATCTGTTAAGTTACAAAAATTAAAGTCAAGAAACTCTACTTTTCTTGCTAGTACACTACATTAGTATATTCTCATGTTTTTACATCTGCTTTTAAATTCAAAGTTAAAATTATTAAATTGACTTAAAATTTTAAGTTAAATCCAAAAATGCTCAAAATTTAATATAATGCAAAAGAGTTCATTTTTTTGGTATTCGGTAGTGTATTCTCATGAATTTTATATACGCTGAATACAAATTCGAAGTTAGAATTATCAGAATGACATAAAATTTTTTAGAACTCAACCCCTGGTTACAGGTACAAGCATGCATGTTTTTGAGCACTTTT